CAGATATATCTATTTCCTGTTTGTTTCCAAGATCTTTAAAATCTTGCATCGCTTCACCAGCTTCAACATTTTGCACACCTATTGGATTATCAGAATCATCTTGAGACACATTTTGATTTGCTAAATTATCTAAATGTTCTTAAAGTAATTGTTTTGCAGTTTCAAATGCTTTTTGCAATTCCTCTAACTTTTCATGATACTGTAATGCATTCACAAGATGTAATTTTACATTGTGAAATGATTCCGCATAAGTATCATATCCATTTTTAAGTTCTTCTATTTACCGCCATGGTTTAAACATAAGAAGTAATGAAAAGAAATAATTTTCTGGCCGCGTTTTAACATCATATCTATAGTGATTAATAAGATATTCATGCTGTCGTCGTTTAAGATAACGACCATTTGTCATCTTAAAGAACTCAATTTTTTTACTTTGTGGTTTTATTTTCGTAATGTCAAACCACTGTGCAAATTCATATAATGACATCGATTCTAAGTCTTCTGGTCTCTCTGGATAATGATTATCTATTAAAGATGGATAAAATATGTCTGTAGAATCTTTATCAAGAATTTTAATTTCCTTATAGCTTTTAATTTTCCTGTATCGTATTTGATTAACATCTAACCATCTAACAGTCGTATTTGGATCAGTCCCATATAATGGAATACCCAGCAATGTGTCAGCAGCTTCAAGAGCTCCACATTCCCTATTATTCATGAAGCGCAAAGCAATATTCCAAAGATAACTCGCCACCGATTTGTTCTTATTATTTTTACTATCAAGGACAGAATCAGATAATTCACATTTTCCTGCCTTATTCAAATACTTAGTAACATAATAAGTAAGTATAGATGATTTTTCACCTATAAATTGTATCCATGTTTCCTTCCCATGCAGTAAGAAGGATGGAATTATAATCATTTATACCAATTTCGATGTCGGTTCGAGGAAGGTCATAAAGCCTACTTTTATATTTTAATTGTTTCCTACCTGCTATTGAACTTATGACATCTCTCATAACAAATG